TCAAGCGACAGTGATTACGGTTTATTGTACTGTTTTGAATGTTTTATGGCATAATTATTCGGTGAGGATTTTGGAATTCTTCAATAGATATTCACCCTGTCCTTTGAGCTCATTTATCTCGATTGCTATAAAAGATATCAAAAAGTAGTCAGTTGATAAAACGATATTATGATAAACATTTTATTAGTTGACACATTTTAGTTATCTCTTATAAAAACTGAGATAATTGAGCTCAAAATTAATAGTCAGGTTGCCNCCTATACGTTTTATTGAATAGACAATACTGTGAAAGAGAAAAAGACGAGGGGCAGTGTTTTTGCGTTCTCTATGAACTTTTGGACTTCGAGAGGAGGAAATTGCAATTTCTAAGTTTCTGGTAGACCGAAGCTCAGGTAGGAATAAGCGGGTTCGAAGTTTAAAGGCGCATATCTCTCATACCAAATTAACTACAACGTTGCTGTATACTGTAAAAATGACGTTCTAGTCTTGGCTGCTTAATTTCTGAGTTAACTTTATTTCAATAAAAGTTATAAGTTGATCAAAAGTTTGCGGAATTTTCAGTTCAGTTCAAAACCTGCTATGTTTTGGACATCCGTTCAATGTTGGCTGTTTCAATTGAAAAATAAGTAAAACTATTCGAATTTTGGTCGGCACTTTTTTTGTAAATTTTTCTGATTCATCAATTCGAGAAAAGGGATTTAATGTTACAATATACAGTATTACTGTTGTCCGAAAAAATAAGAGAGTATTTTTTGCAGTCTGAATACGGTAGGTACCTCGAAGCGACAAGCCTTTAGCTTTCTACCTGAGCTTCGGTCTACCAGAAACTTAGAAATTGCAATTTCCTCCTCTCGAAGTCCAAAAGTTCATAGAGAACGCAATAACACTGCCCCTCGTCTTCTTCTCTTTCACAGTAAGTACACAAGGATGTATTTCACACCTGTTACTTATATTCCTCGCGTCTCTCCAGCTTTGTGGGATTCCATGGCTTATCCGGTAAAATGGATGTGTATGGATGCAGAAGTCTAAAAGTTTGACTCCACAAAACCTTCCCGTTATTCAGCCATTAGAATAAAACAGTTCTAGTGGTAATCGGCGGGGTAAATAAATGCTATATTGTCGATTTACTTCTTAATATAAGGTAAGTTTCCTGGATGAAATAAACCAGGGAGACGAGTAGATCGAACATCTTTTTAACTTTACTTTTACTTTACTTCGAATAGCTTTCTGTGAAGACGGTGGAGACGGTGGAGACGCAGAGAAATTTTTCGATTAACTGTCTGCGTCTCAACTCCTATTTTTCCTACAACAAAAATAGGTTTTACGTTAATTACTAATTCCAATTTAATTGACTTTTGGCTTCTTTGCAGGCGTAGCCAATGATGTTTGGCGTGGCCAGGTTTAAGCTTACTGTAGGACTGATTGTTTCAATTGCTCTGGCTTCCAGTGTTTGAAACGGTGAGTGACTACTGTATCTTTAAACCATCAAAACCGGAGGTTACTGTACCCAACTCACCGATAAAATCACATAATACGCGACCGCACACGCCAGAGAAAGTGCCATCATAGAAATGCCAATAATCCAATCAGTTTGCACAGTCCGGCCACTTTCGGAAGCCTCTTCTTCTGCTTCGACGGCGATATAAAGGTCCGTGGATGTGGGAAGAAGAATTGAGGATAATGTAGTCCCATCTATGCTCATTCTTCCACATTGTTTTTGTTAGATTGACATTCACTGAAAAAACCGGGGTCAAAATTTGGGTCAAAATTCAAAAATTGAAAAAAGAATGCAGTCAAAAGGAACAACTGAAAAATATCATCCAATTTAAAATAAATTTCCAGTCTAGACCTCCCTGACGTTTTCTCTATAAAAATCCAGGTCATATATTTTCTGGAACCAAAAAAGAGGTGTTATGTTTACTCCACATGAGTGTTGGCAGGTAGTAATCCAGAAATTAAATTATCCAATTTTCCTACCACGAAATTGAGAAAAATGGAGAAATAGGTGTGTGCTGCCGAATGTCGGGGAAATTTGATTTGAGGGCTCATGGGGCCGCCTGTTTTTTGGACGGAGTTAGTCATAGATAGGCGTAGTTTGGTAGCTATTGGTTACAGGGAAATAGGGGCATGAAATGGAAACAATGGCTAACTCCTATTCAAAAAGTTTAGTTTTGATAGGAATTCCAAAAAATTTCGAAAACTTTCACCATGATCTCAGAAATAGAGGAATCTCCAGAAATGTTCGGATTTTTGGGAGTTGTTGAATTTTTTTTTTGGAATTTCAGAGTTTTCCGAATTTACAGAATACTATACATTTTTCGAAGTTTTTCTAATTTTTCGGGTGTTTTTTTTGGAATTTTCTGGGGTTTCAAAGTTTGTTGGATTTTTGGATTTTTTAGAATTTTCGGAAATTTTGGTTTTTTTCCGGAATTATTGCATATTCTGAATTGAATTAAACACGACGAGATTAGTTGATAAAAATAGCAAAATTGAGATACACCTAAAAAATAAACCACTTCGAACTGCGACGTTTCGGAACCAGTCATTTCGAAACTGCGAAATTCGCACGCTGCAATTTTTTTCTTTAATTTAGGACTTTCAATTTCACTTTTTGACCGTGTTTTTCATTCGGTTTCGAAATGACCGGTTTTGAAGTGACTGGTTTTGAACTGACTGGTTTCGAAATAACTGGTTTCGAAATGACTGGTTTCAAAGTGTCACGTAGTTTCGAAATGACCGGTTTCGAAACATCGCGGTTTCGAAGTGACGCGAAGCCCAAATTTTATACAAAAAGAAGAAAAATAGCTGATTATGAGATAAGGAAAAATAACTGATAAGTTATCTGATGCGCTAAAAAAGGAAGTCTAAACTTGACGTAGTCAGAAAATAGAGTGAAACTAAAGAAAAATTGTTCTAGAAATTTACTCAAAGAGCTTACTATATTAAGACCAGTGATTATAGTTTTATCATCAAAAACTAATGTAAACATTCCAATAGAACAATCCCCTCCCCCTGATTCTAACTTTCAGCTAATTTGTCTTAGTTCCTATGAGAGATACTACTAATTTGTCAACAGATAAAATACTTATCATAATGTCACCAATATTTTGTCAGTTGACACATTTTCTATATCTTTGACAGGAACAGAGAAAAACTGTCTCAAAGTTAGAGGATCTTTCTATCACAGGTTTTAAGGTAATCTGTAACTGACGATTATATTTGACGACTTCTGAAATCTTTGAAAACAAAAAAAGGGAATCATTCAATTCAAAAGAAAATTCAGAACATGTTCCTGATGTCTACGATTATTTTATATCAATTTTCTGTTACATTGATTTTCAGACAGGGAAGAAATTCGGAAAATTGACTCACAGTCAGTAAACGAACTTTTTCAATAGACACTTAATTTTGAGAGTCGTCTGGACTTCCAGATCCTGGAATCCCAGAAGTCAATTATAACAAAACGAGAGACCAAAAATTCAAAGTTTGTGAATTGTCAAAATATATAAATTCTGGCATTCTTTTATACTATTTTTTCAACTTTTGATCCAAGAAGACATTACAGAAAAACAAGCCAAATTAATTATTGCAGAAAAACTATTATTTTTTGGAACAGATGATTTTTGGAAGTGAATTTTCCTTCAAAAATCTGAAGTCGTGGGAGAAAAATGAGGAAAATTTACAAGAAATGATGCCGAAAAATTGGGCCGAAAAATATTGGATTTGAGTAGAATGGAGGAAGTAAAAATAACAGAGAAAAGAAGGAGAATGGGTGGGAGGAAAAGGGAGAAGCTTTAATTTAATATTGCGTCAGAATTATGTGTATATCAAACATTTGGGGATGTTTATTTATGGTTGGCATTCTGAGATTCAGAATTCCAGAAAATCAGAATTTCAAAACTTCGAATAATTTTTTAATTTTTGAATTCGAAATTTCGATTTCAGAGTTTCAAAATTTCAGAATATCGAAACATCGGACATTCAGAATTTCAGGATCTCAGAAACGCAGGATTTAAGAATTCTAGAATTTCGAAGTTCAGAATTAAAAATTTTCAGGATTTCCGAATTTTAGAACTCCACCATTCAGTATTTCAAAGTTTCACATTGATTAGACTTTTTAAAAATCATGAATCACAGGATAAGAAACATAACTTGGAAATTTAAAACCTTTGGTTTTTTCCTGAATTTTCGGAAATTCTATAAAAAGCCTTATAATTTATTGAATTGTTTTTTGCATTGTCAGAAGTTTCAATATTTTGCCGGGATTCTCAGAATTGAAATTTCTGGAATTTTGGAAAACTCGGAACTTGGAAGTCCTGGGAAATTCAGATTCTGAGATTCTGAGATTTTGGGTTCTGGGATTGTAAGTTTCTGAAATTTTAAGAATGTGAGGTTATGAGATTCTGAGATTCTAAAAACTCAGAGAATGGAAATTCAAGATCAAAACATAGAAGTCGCGGGAAAACATGACAGGCCTAGATTTAGAAAAAAAAAGTGTTATGACGAAAAAAATTATTTGAATTTTGTTTTTCCTGTTCGAACTACAGTTTTCTCTCAAACCAGGATTTGTGTATTTTTAGATCGGAATTCCTAGAATAAACGAATTTCGGAATTTCTTTAAATTCTGAGATCCTGAGATTCTGAGATTCTGAGATTCAGAGATTCAGAGATTCTGAGATTCTGAAATTCTGCGATTCAGAGATTCAGAGATTCTGAGATTCTGAGATCCTGGGGTTCTTGAAATTTTTCGAATCTCTGAAAATGACTCAATTTCTCAATCTGAAAGTACTTGAAACGTCCTCAAACCCGTTTCAAAAATGACCCAAATTCTCTTATTTCGAACCACAATAGCACTCGAGGAATGGGATGCTCTTTTTGAATGGCTCTCTGATTTTTTGGTTCATTTTTGTTGTAATTGGAGATTTTGGAAAATCCTGAAATGACAAATCTTGTTTTACTGATCAGTGAATAGACAAAATCATTCTCTTATTTTGGGTTGTCTGAAACTTGGATAAAAATGATCAGATTTAGTTGAAACTTAATTTTTCGAATTCAATGGGTCACGAGCTTCAAAATGAGTATAAACACGGCTAGCCGGCTCCGCTCACTTCGACTTTTGAAGTTAAAGGCTCATAGAGGTCTGAAAAATGAATTTCAGGGAAAGTAGGTCATGATTATATTCATTTTGAAGCGTTTGACGTGATAAATGAAATGTTTGAAAATTTTAAAAATTCCGGCGAAAAGTAACCAAGTTACGGTAGTTTTTGTTGTCTAGATAACTGGAAAGATCAAGCTAAAAAATGAAATTTATAAAAATCTTTTAAGAGAAGTTTATCATAATATCAAAGACATTTTATCAGTTGACACATTTTTTTTTCATTAAAAATCAATACCCAAGTTTTTGAAATTGTCACCTAAAAAATTGATAAATCAAACATTATTTCAAAATACCAAAACATATAATTTGGAATTTATGAACACCTAAATTATTACTTTTGAAAAATATTTATTTTTCAAACCTCGCTTAAATTTTAAACCAGTTATAGCAATGAGTACTTTAAGACCAAATTATCTAATCAAAAATTAAAAATAGAAAATTAGTATTTAACAGAAACCATTGTATGATCTGTATGAGTTGCCTTTTCCAATTTTCGATTCTCGAATACTGTAACTGGGCCAAGTGCAGTTCCAGATCGTTTTGTGCCGATTTTGTGGCGAATGGCTCTGAAAAAAGCATGAACATAAAAGTTCAGGCAAATTTTGGACTCACTTATTGACAATAAAATAAATGATAGGATGAACTGCGCTATTGCAAATCCACATGAAATTGAGAGCCGTGTAGCTCCAGAGATGTTGAGGGAGCAGCCACTGAAAAGAATACCAATTTTTTTTCTAAAAATTTATATTCTCCTATGAACCAGAGATGTCAGTACTGACTTTTTCGAGAAACGGAATCCAGAATCCGGAATCCAGAATAAAATAATTTTCTCGGAATCCGGACAAGTAAAAATTTTCCGGAATCCGGAATGAAAAAATCCCGGAATCTGGAATCCGGAATACAGAATTCGAAATTTTGAGGTCTCCGATGGGCATAAGAAATGTGAAAAAAACACACACATTTTGTGCTTTGTTTTTGCATTTTAAATCGCTGAATTTCAAAAACGGCAGAGAATTCATGCAGATTAACACATTTTCTGAAAATTCCGGAATAAAAACTTTTCTCGGAATCTGGACAAATGAAACTTTTCCGGGATCCGGAATGCGGCATCCGGACAAAATTTTTTTTCACGGAATCCGGAATAAGAAATCCGGAATCCGGACATCTCTGGTATAAACATGACTAGGCTCCGTCCACTTTGATTTTTAGCATAGCCTATGCGGCATATGGGTTCCAAAAATGAGTTTCAGGGAAAGTAGGTCATGATTATAGTCATTTTGAAGTTCTCGACGTGAAAAGTGTAATGCTCCAAAATGTTCAAGTTTACGGCAAAAATTAACCGAATTATGGTAGTTTTTGTTATCTAGACATCTGGGTCCTTACAGCGCAAACTACAAAAAGCCAAAATAGAGGGAACTAGGTGGTGTTTGGGCTCATTTTAAAGCTCTCAACACGCTAAACTTGAAAGCTTCGGTTAAAAAGCAAAAAATAGAGGTTTAGAGAAATTAGGGGCCCTAGAGGGGCCGAACTTGTGGGCCCACCGTTGGAGGTGCCGCGCAGCTACCAGCTGCTCTACGGTGGCGCAAGCTGCAGCGGGATCGAAGTGTTTGAATACTGAACACTTTGAGATCAATAATCTCAATATCTATAAGAGATATTAAAAATCTGTCAACAGATGAATTGTTTATCGTTACATCACAAACATTTTATCAGTAGGCACATTTTTGATACGAATTGAAAAAACAGGAAATTGAAAAAAAAAATTTGCCTTAAGTTTAAAGTTAGAGTGGCCTTCTATTGGAGTTTATGGTAATTTCGTGACCGAATCCATTTTGAAATCCTTACCGAATAATTATGCCATAAAACATTCAAAACAGTGCAATAAACCGTAATCACTGTCGCTTGAATCAACACTTTGATCTCTGCATTATAACTTTTCGAGATCAAATATTGTTTCTTGGTCTTCAACAACTTGTTGATAATGAGCATGTAGAAAAACATGGACACAAAAATTCCTCCAATCTCAATACACATTTCCACTTTTTGAACGTATTTTGAGAATAGTAAATCTGTGTCATAATCCCATGAATACCAATCAGGAATATATCGAATTGTGGCCCAAGGGGAAGATAGAGCAAGAACGAATAGAAGCCAGATGAATGAGGCAATTAGGATCCAGATCTGAAAAAAGTGTTTTAACGATAATTAAGCTACCGTAATCCATACCATCCATCTTTTTCCACCAAAAAAGAATAGCTCCAAAGTGTTTGAAGATAATTGAATGAATCGATTAAAGGAGAGAAATATAGTGAGCAATGTGAAAGTCACATAACACGGAGTAGCAATTACACCCATAACCTGAAATCAAAAATTTTTAGGTTGTCAGTCAAAATTGTGGATCAAAATTCAGCTTACTTTCGCCAAACCGGGATGGAAAACTGTCTGGGTTACCGTAAAAATTCCGGTGACGAAATGAGGAAAGCATTGAAAAACGTCGAATACGCCCAAGAAAAACATGAACTTGTAGCTGGCCATTCGGAATAGTTCCTTGTCTTTGTAGATTGTCTAAAAAACGATGTTGTAAAACATTTAATTTTTGTTCGAAAAGTTGCAAAGTTTTAGGTAAGATTTGGGGTCCAAAGTTTTTCAATTTGTCTGGAAATTTCAGATCCTACTAAACAAAGCAATGGCTTTATTTTTGCAATTGACAACTTTTTTGTCAAATTTGATTCTGATGAGTTATGACGTTTGTAACTTCAAAAGGTACCGAAAATTAGTGGTGAGAATATATTTGCTGTAAATGCCCTAACACTATATACATACACTTTGAGCCCAATTATCTCGGTTCCTATGAGAGATATCAAAAATGTGTCAACTGATAAAATATTTATCCTAACATCATCAGTGTTTTATTAGTTGACAAATTTTTGAAATCTCTTCTAAGAACCGAGATAATTAAGTTTGAAGTGTACGCATAATGTGGGCTTCTATTAGAGCATTTACAGTAGATCAACCTAAAATCCGCCTGTCTCGTTTTAATGGAATTTTACAAAAAAGCTGTCAACTAAAAAAACAAAGCTCTATTTTTGTTTAATCTACTCTGAAACTTTCAAACGTATCGAACAATTCTGGACCCCGTTATCAGAACTTCAAAATTGCCTCTTTTCCAGTAAAACTTTTTGTCCGGTGTAGGGGTTTTGGAACCCAATTGTTTAGTCAAATTTAGGACCGGACAACTGATGAAAAATTAAAGAGAGGAAGTCTATTTAATTTCCGCCTTTAGAAAATTTGCAACAATATTTGCTACTTTTCCGCTAGTTTCAAAAGTGTTATAGTTTTTGAAATTTGGCCTGTAATAGAAGGCACCCTAAATTTTGAACCAATTTATCTCGGTTCCTTCAAGAGATATCAAAAAGTAATTAACTGATAAATTGTTTATCATAATATCAAAGACATTTTATCAGTTGACACATTTTTGATAAATCTGACAGGAACTGAGATAATTGAGCTCAAATTAGGCTTGGGTGACTTTTTATTGGAGTGTTTAAGGTAATTGAGCTCCACCTTAGGTGCCATTCTATTACAGGTTTCAAGGTAGCTTACCGATAAAATCAAATAATAGGCGATTGCACATGAAACAGAGACAACCATCATAGCAATTCCAACAATCCAATCGGTTTGGACCGTTCGTCCACTCATTGAAACGGTAGATTCGTCTGGTAGACTCATCATTTTACATTCATAGCTCTGAATCTTAAAAAATGGTTTAAATAACAAAAAAAAAATAAAAGAATAAGCTATAACAAGAAGAAATAACAATTCTCAATAAAAATTTCCAGACTATTCGAAAGGTGAAGTCTGTCTGGAATTCCAGAAAAGACGTCAATTGACTCACTTTTGATACACTTTTCCAGAACTGATTGCCTATTTGTGTACGTGATTACCATACACAAACAAACAATTTGATTCAAAAATCCGAATACGGATTTTTGGAAATTGGATTTTCCCGTTTATGTACATATACACCAATATTTGGTTCGCTTGGCTCCAGAAGAAAATTATATGTATACTAATAGACACTTTACTTTTTCGTTGATTTCTGATTTCTTATCAAAAAACAAGAGAGCTTTTTAATCAGAAAATTGTACAAAAAGTGATTTTCAGAAAGCCGAAAAAAAAATATTATTTTTTTTGACATGAAAATTTGAGGTTTCGTGAAAAAACGGAACACGGAATGGAGAGATTTATAGGAATTCCGGGTTAAAGAATAGAACGTAGGAATCTAAAGATATTATAATTTTAGAATCTTCAAAAATCGAAATCCTAAAGCTTCAGAATTTCAGAATTTTAGAATATTTGAATTTCAGAATCTGTGAATCTCAGAGCATCTTAGAATTTCAAAATTTCAGAATTTCAGAATCTTCCAATCTCAAAGTTTTAGACCAAAAGTTTCAGGCGTTATTCGTTGTATAGACTTATAGTTGTGAAGAGATTTAGAAAGTTTGAGAAAAACGAAGAAATTCAATTTCTGAAAACCTGGTCTTTTTTTTTGAATTTCTGAAGTTTTTGGGATTTTTGGAAGTTTGGGTATCTGAATTTGTTGATTTTTTACAATTAAAAACATTTAGATTTTCATATCAAATGAATTCAGCGTACACCTTCAAAAATTCACAAAATCGACCTCAAAAATTGAATAGAAATCTAACATGGGATAGAAGAATGTTTCAAAGAGTGGGTGGAGCAAAAATACATTTGAATGAACCAGATTAGTCTATGTGAACCTACGTTGAAGAATGGAATCAAAGGAAGAATGAGAGGCTAATGAACTTCAAAAAATGTTGTAAAATATGGGTGTTATTTTGAACTTCCTCAGATATGACTTTTGATAGATTCGATTCGGTGAACCATGAAAAAATTTGATTTTTAGAGTTTCATGACGCAAAAATGTCTGCAAAATTTGGAAATTATGAAAATTTTGATCTAAAAAATTCTATAATTCAGAATTGGTAAAATCTGGATACATTCGGAAAATCGGAAATTCTAAAATTGAGACGTTGAGAAACGGAAATTCAGAAATTCGAAAATTAAAAATTAGGGAAACTGAGAAACTCGTTAAGTTTGGAAAGTTTGAAACTTCGACCCCGAAAATTCTAGAATTTATAAAATCTTGAAATTTTCAGAAATTCTAAAATTCGCAAATAGAGAAAAAATATGAAGTTCTCAGATTTTTCAAATGATTGTTTCTCCCATTGTTTGAGTTTTCAATTCTTTTTTTAATTCTAAGAATTCTCATCTAAAAATACACGAAATTCCGAGTCATTGTGTCAAATTAAGTATACTAGAGAAAACCAAAAATGGACACTAGTCAACAGTCGGAAACTGTGGGAATTTTTTTTTTTCGTCATAATACTCTTTTTTCTGGACACAAAAATCATTTCCTGAGTTTCCCACAATCTTTATACTTCCCACAACTTTTTTATGATTTTATCTTTGTACCCGTGGAGGCAGTATGTACTTCCAGGATCAATTTTTCCCATGGTCCACCTTTTTTGCAAAAAAAATATTTCCTATGAGATAAGAAACTAGAGAAAAAATGTAGTGTAGATATTTCTAGATTATTCTTGTCAGAGACAGGTGGGTGGGTGGATAAGGGGGCGGAGCCTTAAATTAAATTTTTAACAGAATGAGTTCAGGTTGACAGCTCAATTGGCTATTTTCCAGGAAAAATAAGTTCAAGCACGGAGTAAAAGAGCAAAGCATTATGCCATAGTTGAGGTCAACTTTAAAAATTAGGTGGAAGTTTAATTAGATTTTTCTTTGCTTGTTAAGAAAACTGCGAAAAATTAATTGAGGTCAAGTTAGAGTTGTCTACGTCGGATTCGAATATTGGAGAGTTATTAGCTTTGCCATACTTGGCGAAATCCTGAAACATGTTTTTTAACGGTAGCTTGTTTTTTTTCTCACTATCAGATTTTATATAAGCAAACTGGAACCTGAAAATCGTATAGATTTATATCAAATCAGAAGAAAACATTTATTGTAAAAATCGCATTTATTTTGCAGATGGTTACCAGAAGATGTTGGACAGACTGACGCACAGACAGAGATACATTGATTAGTTCTGAAAAGGGAATCTGAAAAACATTTGTTTCGTTTCAGTCATTTTCGTGTCTTTGAAACTTTGGATTCAGAATTTTCAGAAATTCTAGCTTATTCTTCACATCCTTCTACAATATTGGATACCAACAACCGCCAAATGAAGAATCATGTTTCCAATTTCGTTGTGTATTTTTTCATATCAGTGTAAAAATTCAAATTTAAAAGTAGCATCATTTCTCGCATTGTATGTATCTTGACATTTTTTTCTATTGAATAAAAACATTGTGTGAAATTCAATATGATGTTTTAGGAGAGAGTGTGGGGAGTTGATTCCATGTCAAACACTGCTGACTAAATATTGAAATAACCCCCTCTATGTATAGGAAAAAATCTATAAGAATTTCATCCAGCCAGATTGTTTTTGAAAATGTTTTTTTGAACTTTTCCACTTCTATACTGACATTTTGACATCAATTACCGTAAACACTCTATTAGGATGTCAACTGAACCGTCAAAGTTGTGCCCATATATCTCATTTCCTGTAAAAGATATCAGAAAGTTGTCAACTGATAAAATGCTGGTGATATTTTGAAAAACATTTCACCAGTTGACAAAAATTTGATATCTTTGACGGGAACCAAGATAATTGAGGTAGAAGTACACCGGTAACAGTTTGCTAGATTCAAAATGGCGCCTGAAAATTTCCGAATTCGAAAAGGAAGAGCACTTTTATTGTTTCCCTTGAAAATTTGTTCCCAATAAGATTCCACAACAATAGGAGGTTCGAGCCATTTTTTCAGCACCCAAAAATCCACTACTTTTCATTGAAAATATCTGAAAACTCTGGGAGTACACAAGTCTAGAAAAATCTCTGGAAAAGTTTATGTTAAAGAAATAGTTTTGTTTTTCAGATTTCGTTTTTTTTTTCTTAAAAACACTTCACAATTACCCATTCTCTATTGCAAAAGCTATTCATTTGGTCCCAATGAACCCTTAATCTCTTTTTCCATTTCACCAAAATGGTCATTTTCCGGACACCCCTGTCCGCTTCCTTCACTTCTAAATCATTTTGGGGTTCACCACTAGAGACAAATGTATCTTTCAGCAGCAGCCACTCTCCCTCCAAAAATCCACACCATCTGTCCTCATCTTCTTCCGTATTCTGCCATTCTTCTCCCTTCTTCTTCTTTTCCTTCCTCACAAAGCGAGAGATAGGAGAATTAGACAGCTGCGCAGTTCTCTGGAGCGCATTTTCCTTCCCTAGTGTAGTCTATTATTTGTTTCTTTTTCTCTATTTGCCCTCCTGTCAACATCGATTATATCCGCTGCCTTCCTGTTCTTTTTTTTTCTAGTTGAAACAAGAAATAGAGAGATAATTATCACATAATTATCACAACTGACCACCTCACTTTCATTTAATTGGCCGTTCTGAAATGAAAAAGAACTGGTTTCTGCACCGTTTGTGTAAATTATTTATGTTATCAAATATTTGCTCTTTCTCTTGAGAAGAACAAAGAAGGTTCAATAGATAAGAAATGTTCCTTTTATGTTATTTTTTATATTTTTGGAATTTTATTTACTAGAAATTCTTAATTTAAGATAATTTATAATTTCAAAAGCTTTTCTCGAAATTAATCTGATTTTTTAACTAAAAATTAAACATTTAAATTAAAAATTAACACTTTTTAAAGTCGAAAATGAAAATTTGAATTTGATAACATTTTGAAAATTCAACTGTGGTTTGTGAATAAATTTGGATTTTCAGTATTTTTGCTAATGGCCGAACTTCGAACTTCTTGCTTAAATTATGTTGTTGTTTTTGAATTTTGCAATTTACCGTTTTTTTTTCTCAGCTTACCCAATTTCTCTTTTTTGAACTGTTCAGAATTTAAAAAAAAAACATCCTGAAACGTTAAATATTCCAGATCCCCTTCTCTCCCAAAATGGATCTCACAAGTGGTGGTGTCGGTCCCTCCACATCCACAGATGACGTCGCATCTCTTCTGGACAATTCAGACGACATGCAGTTGGTTCGACAGGTTTGTAATAAAGTTCGGCCCCAAACAGTACCGGACAAAACAACGAAGACTAATAGATTAGCCCCTTTTAACTTTGAGCCAATTTATGTCGTTTCCTGTCAAAGATATAAAACATTGTCAACTGATAAAATGTTTGTGATATTATGATAAACATTTTATTAGTTGACTACTTTTTGATATATTTTGAAAGACCCGAGATATACGAGGTCAATGTTGGCGGACGGTATTAGAGTGTTGGTGTATCCTAGTTTAATTTTTTCAGTGAAAAATAAGATACTTTGGAGCCCTGCTCAAAATTTTTCCATAATTCTGAAAATTTCAAATAATACTAATCAAAAATCAAGCTTTATTTTTGTGATTGACAACGTTTAGGCCGAATTCCGTTTTGTTGAGTTACACCGTTAGTAACCAGAAAGTGCCAAAAACTAGCAATGAAAAGAGTTGGTACACTTAAAAAGTCTCTTTACACTGCACGTTTTTCGGATTAGAAAGATTTTTGGATTCCAATTTTGCCATTAACTAATGTCCCATTCATTTTCCAGGCCGTCCTATTTGAGAATGTGGAACTCCTTGCGGACCTTTTCAAAGTGAATCCTTGGGTATGGAATCGAGTGGATCGACACGGAAGAACTCCTCTCATGTTAGCAGCACATAATGGAAAATTGAATAGTTTGAGAACGATTCTCATGTTGAGTCCTAGTGAGTTTTTTTTTTCGAAATTTCGAAGTGTACAAATTGTCCCTCGAAACTCAACCGGAATTGAAGGGCCTCGTGGTTCTGTTAACTTTGATCCAATTTTTCTCGATTCCTGTAAAAGATATCAAAAAAATTGTCAACTGATAAATTGTTCATCATAATATCTGTAATTTTTTGTCACATAGCATTCTTTTATATCTTTCGTAGGAGTCAGGAAAAACTGAAAATGTGTCGGATGTTGTCAGAAAGTTCGCTGAAAAAAATGTTTGGCTCATCATGAGATATTTAAAAAAATCTCAAAAAATATCCAAGAAATGTTAGGGGAGTGATTAGAAATAACTTTTGGGAGGTTAAATCTGAGATAAAAAGATTAGGGGGGAGTTGAGCCAAAAATATTTTTGAATGGTTGTTTTTGAGAAAAAATGTGATAACACCTGAAAATTGATGTTTATGGCTTTAAGAAAAAACCATTTTTCTCTGAAAATTTTCATCTAAAAACGCATTCTAAGATTTTCTGAATCGTTAGAAAAAAGGTGTTGGTTCTTGAAAAATTGCAAATTTCGCTTTTGAAAAAACCCAGATTAATCTGTAAATGACAAAAGAAACGAAAATAACTTATTTTTTGAAAATAATGTATTTTCCTGAAGGTTCTATTTTTCCATAAAAATACTAATTTTCCAGTTTTTCAGTTAATTTTATTGATTCCAATTTTTGAATTCCGGAAAAAATGTCAAAAACTGTTCAATCGTTTTGAAATTGAATTTTCAGAGAAAAAAGGTGGTAAACCGTAAACTACAATTGTTTTTCAATTCGGATATTTTCAGACACCGTATGCTTTGAGCTCAATTATCTCGATTCCTATCAAAGATATCAAAAATTTTACAACTAATAAAATATTGCTGATATTGTGACAAGAATTTTATCAGTTGACAGATTTTCAATATCTATTATAGAACCCGAGATAATTGAGCTCAAAGGTATGGTATCAGTTTATAGGAAAATTTTCAGCATTAACTGATTTTTAACTGATTTCTCAAACATCCCAAGAGGTTGTTTTGAACTGAAAACAAAACAATTTATTTTGGTAGTACTGTAGTTGTGCTGACAAAAAATTACTTACCCATATTTACAATTTTAAAAAAAACTAATTAACTTTTTTTCAGAATCGCTAAACCTAACCAACGAGCGTGGGAAAACCGCACTGCACATGGCAGCCGAGTCGGGAGAGATTTCAACGGTCATGGAGTTGGTGGAAATTGGTGAGTGGTTGAAATTTAAATATATGCAAGTTTGCTCTATTGTCAATCTGAAAAATAGGGATACAACATCTACCGTAAGACCTGTAATAGACGGGCTTTTTAAAGGTGGGGGGACAGGAGATTTTACGGGGGATTTTTGGGGCCAGGGTATGCATTCTACCGTAACGGTGTACAACGCTTAATGTCACTCTGCGTACAGCTGTCGCCCTCGCCTTTATGTATTCAATCGGGCAGCGGCTTTCTCTTTGCACGCGTAGCTCAGTCGGTAGCGGCGCCGCACTTTCATCACTCGCCTCGACAAGTTCAACTCCTCGAGGAGCATATTTGAACGGAATTTCGACAACATTATTTTTCTCATGTCCCCCCACCTTTAACTTTTAACTTTGAGCTCAATTATCTCGGTTCCTGTAGAAGATATCAAAACTTTGTCAACTGATAAAATGTTACTGATTTTATGATAAACATTTTGTCAGTTGATTACTTTTTGATATCAACACACAGGAGTTGAGATAAGTGAGCTCGAAGTGTGCAAGTATGGTCGTGACGCAATCAGCCGACACCGCGCGGCGCCGACCAACCCGCATACAGTTTAAGCTCAATTATCTGGGTTCCTCTGTGAGGTATTGAAATTCTGTAAACTGATAAAATGTTTTTCATTTTATGGCAAATATTTTATCAGTGGACCACTTTTTGATATCTTTTACAGCAATCAAGATATATGGGCTCTAACTAAATAGTGTGAAAGCCCTTCTATTAAAGGGTGTACGGTTGTACGGTGGTGTAAATAAGAGATCAAACTTCTAAAACTTGCTCCACTGCAAATCCTCAACCCAAAAAAATAATTTATCAATAGAGCGCACTTTCTTCCAGGCTCCGACCCGATGAAGTCCGATACCGAAGGTCATTGTGCATTGGAACTGGCTCAAATGGCTGGTCACAATGAGGTGGCTGCGAAGTTGATTGATGCGATACGTAAGACAATTTTGAGGGAAAAAACTCAATTGCGAATTTTTGAATTTTCAGAAAAAGAGAGCGAAGACCTAAACGATGCTCATATCATGCTAATAAGCGCATGTATATCAGGAAGCGCCGATGTGGTAAATGAGATTTTAAGGAAGAATATGGAGAAGTGCGTTTTTTAGAATTTATGGAATTTTCAGAAAAATGAAAAAAAAATTTAGAAAACAAAATCGAGAAATCATATTCAACGGGCGGACCGAAGAAGATGAGACGGCACTTTTGATGTGAGTTTTTTCCTTCGAAATTTTGAAAATTGAGATTTAATAGAACATTTTTTTGTGTATTTTGTCGGAAAAATATCTAGAAACTAGTGTAAAACGATCAAAAAATACCTGAAAATCCCAAAAAATCCCATCAAATCCAACTTTCTGGCCATTTTCCCAAAAATTGTCCGAATGGCGCAGTATGATTTTTTTCCAAAAACCTACCAATCTCAAGACCCGGGTTCGAACCCCGCTGGTGCAAATTTTTTTGCTGTTTTTTAGAACTTTTCATGCTTAAAACCCCGAAAAATATAAATTTTCAAACTAATTTTTATCATACTTGTAACGGGCCGGGCCGGGCTTTTTCTCGAATTTCGGAGGCCCGGTTCGGCAAGTTTTGTTTTGAACAACAAGTTTTGAAAATTTCAAAAAACACATAAGGGGGGACCCTTATGTGATTTTTTTCGATCAAAAAATTTTTTTCGAGTTTTTTTTTATTTTTTGATCAAACAGACAAACAATCCAAAACGCACAAAAAAATATAGAAAATTGTATTGAGAGCTCAAAATTCGGTTCAAAATGACAAATTTTTTGCTACCGGGCCTTCCGGGCCGGGCCTTGAAATTTTTCTCAGGCACGTCCCGGCCCGGGCCCGGAATTTTACAAGTATGATTTTTATGAGAAAAAAGAATCCCCCTAAGAAGTGGGCGGAGTCAGAGGGCGGAGCCTGAAATACAAGTTAAAGTTGTTTGTTTCAGCGCCTGCACCAACGGCCACATTGAAATCGTCCGGCATCTCCTTCAATTCGAAGAACATCTTCTGACCAGCCACACGACACGAGATACAGTAATCCATGCGGCAGTTTCGAGTCAGAATGTGGAAGTGTTGCAGTTGTGTTTAGAGGTTAGTAGGTTCATTTTACAAATGGAGATCAAAAACAAAATAGTACAAATAAGGTCTTATATAAGGCACAACTAGAAAATGTTAAAAATATAAAAAATAAGTAATTTAACGGGATGAGTCTTCTGGAGGGAATCGAACATTCTGATAACTGGTGGTTCTTGGAGACGGTTCTGGTCCCGTTGGCGGTCTTGGAGACTGAGATCTGCTTCTCGGCGACCCCTTGACATTTCGAGTCTCTCCAAATCGAATTCCAGCACGAGAAGAGCTGACACGTGGCAAACGACGATTGTAGACGAAGCTGGATTGACGAGGACTCGTGGGAAGAAGATTGTTTCGCGGGAAGAGTGGAATCTCGTTTTGCACCAGCTCCAGGGTGTGCTCTGGAAGGAATTTGGAATTTTTGACAGTCAAAAATGTTGTCCCCGTACCTCTTCTCATCTTCAACTTTATACTCCTCATCTTCAGAGTATCTTGTGCGGTAGGCTCGTGAGCCGGCTCCTCTTCATTCCAGTTCACTAAATAGGTGATCGTTTCGTCGAATAGCTCATCGAGCGCCTGGTTTTCGTCTTTTGGATTCGGCGCGTTTTGTCGACAGTATTCGAGCTGAAAATCAGTTTTTAGAAGTACCGTAAAACCTGTATTAGAAGGACCGGCCCTTTTATTGTTCCAAGGTACCCCCCCCCCGGAGGGCCCTTCTATTACAGGGGACTCTTCTGTTTTTCCAATCCCTCTCGGAGGGCCCTTGTATTAAAGAGGCCCTTCTAATACAGTTTTTACGGTATCAAAAGTTCGTCAACTGATAAAACGTTTTTCATTATGTCATCAACAACATTCTATCAATTGACGCATTTTTGATATCTTGCATGGGAATTGAGATAATTGAGCTCGAAGAGGTGCCCTTCTATTGGAGGTTTTGAATAAAAATCTTACCAAAAGCTTTCGATTTATGGAAATCAGTTTATGGATTGGCGGAGCGTTACACGGATTCTGCACGAAGATATTCAGAAGACCGACGGCTTCAAGACAGACAGTTTTGTGAATGCTTTGAAGATGCAAAAATACATATTTTATGAGACTAGGATCGGCCATCCATTGACGACGGACTTCAGCCATGTATCGATTCGAAAATATATCTCGAACGAATCGCAAAGATTTGGTTTGAATAAAAAAGTTGTTCGCTGCGATGAGCCAGTGGAAACTTTGGGAGAATCGACTCAGGTTGTTATAGAAGAAATATTGAGAAGCTTCGTGATTCTGGGAGAAGATTATCTGGAAAAAATAAGAGTTCTTAATAAATTCTTTGAATCCCCCTCCCTTCCCAAACCTACCTCAAATGTTTCAAAAATCTCCGCCAAAATATGGAATCCTCTATAAGTATGAGTGTTGAACAGTCGATCAAAAATCGCCCAGACGCAACCTTCGAACTTCTGCTTCACCTCATTTGAATCTGTTCCTTTGTCTTTTAACATGAACATCAGACACGCGTCGTCTTCGGCGAATATTCGGATGATGTCATTGTACAGACCGATACTGTCCGAGCCGGCATAACCTTCGTGGACGATGTGGAGCATTATGAAGCGACATTCGTAGAGGACGTCCTGGAATTTTTGGCTGGGACGGGCTTGTCTTGGATTGGGTACGAGAGAACCTTCGGCGTCAGCTAGAAAATCGTTTGATGTCCATGTTCGGATGAAGATTAGAAGATCGCGGATTTTCTGTGAAAAAAACTTTTTTCGGTAAAATATGGGGTTGAAGGATCTGGGGGTCCTAGCCATCTTATAATTTAAACTTAAACGATTTTTTCGGTTAAAAATGACCCGATTCGGATGGAAACCGGCAATATATGAATTTTCAACATTGCTCAGCACTAATTTTTTGGCCAAACCAACTCATTTTCGGGTCAAAAGAGGCAAAACTTCTCCGATTGCTCAGCCCTTTATGTAATTTTTTATAAAAAATGGAGCATATTTGAGCATTTTTGGATGGAAATGCCTAAATTTTTGTGATTTGGGTCATTTCGACTCGAATTTCCGAGAGAGAAAAAAAAAATGCTTCGATTTTTGCAAAATCTTTAAAGGAGGCGAGACAGCAAAAATTTCGGGGGACAGTTCGGGGGACGAAATCGCGCCGCGCTTATGTAGACCATCGGTCGTCAGGCGCCTTCGCGCCCCCGTAGCTCAGCCGGTAGCGGCGCTCTACCCCTGAGCTGCCTGTCATGAGTTCAACACCTCATGGGGGTTCTCTATGCAAAATATCAGGAAAACTTTTTTTTGGTGTCTGGCCTCCTTTAAACCTTTTTAGGGTTTTCAGCTATTTTCGAAAAAATCTTTTTCGATTTTTCCAAATTTTTTGTCTGAAATTTGATGGAAGATTACTGTAGACTACTGTAGAAAATCTTGTAGTTTGTAGTTTTTATCTGCATTTTGACGTGATTGTGTTGGCAAACAACTACAAAAGAAAATTAGGTTTCTACCGTAATCTACAGTAATCAAATACCGTTCCATAAAATTTCAGACAAAAAAATCGGAAAAATCGAACAAGAATCTTTGTTTAGAGCTAATTTCATAGCTACTGGGAGTCAAACTTTGTAGTTTGAATTCGAAATTGAATGAGTTTTTGTTCAAAAATCTCAAAACTCACCCTCTTAGTTTCCACCTGAACTCCATCAAAAACCATCAACAAATTCTTGACAACACCCGGATGATTCAAAAACTCCTCTGCCAATTCATACTTTTTCTGTGGTGCCGTCGCGTGTGTCACACTGAAAACACTCTCCCAAATCACATCGATTTGTTTCGAAATTTCGGTCAATGGAAATCTTTCGTTGCGGTCTTTCAGCACTTCGAACACTTTTTCCAGTTTTTTGACCGCTTGCTCCGCCGTCTCTCCTACAGCGTTGATCATTGGATTCGCGATTTGGGTTCGTCGTCGAAGGCACAACATTTTCTGGAAAACATTCATTTCTAGATACTGTAATCATTCTAATAAAAGGCATACTAGAATTTTGAGCTCAATCATTGGGGCTTCTTCGAAAGATATTGAACTTTTATCAAGTGATAAATTGATTATCATAATGCCACCAATACTTTATCAGTGGACAATTTGTCCATATCTTTGACAGCTACAGAGACAAAATGCCTCAAAATTAAAATTAAAGGGCTCTTCTACTACAGGTTTTCAAGTACTTTTCTGAAATTTCTAGCCACAACCTTATTCACTTTTTTTTCCAGAGATTCCCCCAACTCATCGCCGCTACGAACAACGAAGGATCCACTTGCTTACACTGGGCCGCCCGTTGTGGATCGTCTGAATGCGTTTCTACGTAATACAACAATAATAAGCTCAAAAAAAGGCCGAATTTTCAGAATTCTCAACTTCCCATTCCCATCAGAATATTTGATGGAAATCGATACCGTTGGTGCTCCAGCCTACAAGCTTGCCCTAGATGTGAACGAGGTGGATGGAGAGTGTCGAACTGCAATGTATCTGGCAGTGGCCGAGGGACATTTAGAAGTCGTTCAGGCTATGACGGAGGTACACATCCTTATAAGGGTACACTAGGACGCCAAAATCAAATTAATTCTTTTCAGTTCAAATGCACGTCCATAGACGGCAAACGCCGTTGCCCCTTCCAACTCGACGTCTACTGTACACGTGGCAGAACTCCATTCATGTTGGCTGCCTTCAACCACAATCTTCCACTAATGACTCTTCTCCTAGACGCTGGAGCTGATATCAACCTCCCATTAGCCGTCCTAGATACAGAGTATAGTGTAGAAGAAGGACGATGTATCGGATCTGGTGCACTGGTTGAAGCCGTGCGATCCGATGGATTGCATATAGTTCATTTCCTTTTGGATCGTGGAGCCCTCGACACAGACAACAAAGCCTTAAGGCTGGCTGCTCAGGGGAAGAACGAGAAGCTGATTCGAGTGTTTCTGGTTCGCTTGGTTTTCGCTGACCCAGAATATAAAATCAACAAGAAGAACATCGATGTGGGTCAGATTCAAGTAGGCCAAAGTCTGCTCCCAAGCAGTCTATGCCCCTCAAAAGCAGCTCAGCTAAACTGGAATTCCGCGAATTTGGAGAACCTCCAATCGGATTGGTTTGTGGCTGCCGCCCTTCACGTTAATCCACGCCTCCGAACTACAAGGCTATCATTGGCAGCTATCACCCGAGTGGATCTATCAGACAATCGGCTCTCTACATTTCCAAGTATCCTATTTCAAATGCCATCACTTCGATCTCTAAATCTAGCTGACAACAGCATACGAAGTATCGAGATTCCAACCTATTACATTAGTTCAACATCGCTAGAAATTCTAAATCTGAAGAATAATCAGCTGGAGTGTCTAACTATTCAATTTCTATCATCCTTGCCACAACTACAACACTTGGATGTTTCAAAAAATGAACTCAGTCAACTACCAGAGTATATTTGGTTGTGTCCAGCGTTGAAAGAGCTGAATGCCTCCCATAATCGCTTGAGCACACTTCCAATGGTCGCAAGGACGTCTAGAGGAGAACGACCACGTCTTCAGAGTAACAATACCCAGTCTCCATCCCAAGAGAACAATCCAATCGTTGTCGACGACCCTCCAAACGTCACCACCAACCCACTCCGACGGCAGAATGTCTGGCAAGCCAGTATAAACCTCTCCAAAGTGGACGATGACTCATTATTCCCAGATTTCCCGGTCACTTCAAGCAACACCCTCACCACTATCAATCTCTCATTCAACAAGTTTCACACCTTCCCATTCTGCCTAGCTTGCACCTGCCCACGTCTTCTGATCCTCAACATGTCCAACAACTCAATGACCTCCTTACCACCAATGGCTTGCGTGCCTGCTCACTTGAGGACTCTGGATCTCTCCTACAACAAAATTCAGGAGAGCTTCATCGAAGCCACGCCTCTTCACGTCGTCTGTCACGCTGTCCCGCCAACAACTGCCAATGGATCCATGCTACCGAAGCGAAGAAATTCACCAGCTCGTCAGCACAGAAGTCGTTCGAAATCTGCAGTTCGATCTCAACGAAGTCTAAGTGTCTCCAGACATCAAGCATTGGTAGATCCACAAAAAGAAGAGGAGTGTGTCCATAAGAGACACGATTCGCTAGAGTGGTTGAAGACGTTACAACTAGCTGGAAATCGTCTGAGGGCTATTACCGTATCCAATGCCACCAAAGTCCTTCTTCCCCAGTTGAATGTGTTGGATTTAAGTGATAACAAGTTGCTCCAAGCTTCCCCAGATATTGCAAAACTATCCCTACTCTCAATGCTCAACCTATCCGGAAACACTGCCATCAAAGAGCTCCCACCGGATTACGGTATGCTCTCACGGCTCTGGAGTCTCTCCTTGAAGGGGTGCTCATTAAAAGAGCCATTAGAGTCAATGGTCAATGTGGAGAACTGCAAAACTGTTGAAATCGTGGCGTATTTGAAGACAATTCTGGAAGAATCCAAAACCTATCATCACTTGAGGATAATGATTCTGGGAGGAGATTCAGTTGGGAAGTCGACAATTTGGGAGGCGTTGAGTAAGGAAGCTGTGCAGAAACGGCAACCGATTCAATCAGAAACTGGAGTTATCAGACAAGCAGAGTGGAAATTCGAATCAAGACGAGTAAAAGGGGATAAGAATTTGGGACCCGTTGGATTCTCGGTTATCGATTTTGGAGGTCAACGTGAATACCACTCGACGCATCAGTACTTTCTCAGCAAGCGTTCCCTGAACCTAGTCCTTTGGAAAATCACAGATGGAGATGAAGCACTTGCTCAGCTCGACACCTGGCTTATCAATATCCATGCAAGGGCTCCAAACTCTACAGTAATCCTAGTAGGAACCAATTTGGATCAAGTAGCATCGAATAGCCCAAAGTTTGGACCCGGATTCGTGGATATAATGGAACAGAAAGTTAGGAGTCGGTACATGGTAGCAGATGCTGATAAGTCTGGATTGCCACGTGTCGTTGATGTGATTCTGATTAATTCAACGGCTCGGAGTGATGTGAAGGCGTTACTGAATACAATTTATCGGACGGCATGGGAGGTGAGAATCGGGAAGGAGAGAGCCATGGAGCAACAAATTCCATCGTCCTATGTGGCATTGATGAAAGTGACCAAGGAATTGGCAGCTGAGTTTCGGAAGGAAGGACAGCCAGCGGTGATGACAGTGGATGCGTATAAGGAAAGAGTCAGGAAGAGGATGATGAGCAAGTACGGTAGACCATTCAGGTGAGTCTCACAACTACTGTAACTTATATTTCCGGATTTATTATCGTCAATTTTTTCGCAAATGAATA